CAGTTGTAGAACGCCGAGATTACTCGAACAAAACCAGGTCTGTTACATAATTGACAAATTTTGTTAATTATAAAGTAGAACGCAGTAATATTTATCACAGAAAATACACAGCGAACAGACTGAAATATTACTGCTGCAAGTACGCTGAAGAACATTCATATACATATTAATCAAGATGCAAATTTTAAAAACATAACGATATGCCGCTAAACCAATTTTTGATATTACTTTCTGCTTTGAAAGACTAATAATATCCAATTAAATTTATAATATTGTAAATAACATAAATTTAATAAGCATTTTGCGTTAATGCAACTTTTTTTCTTTTGCCTTAAAAAACTGCATCTATGATTTCAGTTCTTTGGATGTTTTTTTTATTAGGCTATCATCTTTTATTTGCATTTTTGATAACGCAAGTGTTACAAAAACTGTATAAAATTAAATTCTAACTTAATTATTATTATAATAAGCAAAACTTATATTTTTTTCAACTTTCGCATTTGCAAAAACTCTTTGATTGGCCTTTATTTATATGGATACTTTTTCAACTAGTAGCTAATTATGTTTAATTTTGATTGTTTCGTCAATTACGGGGTTAAAACGCTATTTTTACTTAGAAACATATTGAAATCTATATTTTCAATTAAAAACCGAAATCACTACTACGTCTACACCCCCCGGGACGGTTGTGACAGACATAAATATGGGTTAGAAAACAATAGCTATAAACATAAAAATGGTTTTTAACAAAACATAAAACACAACACAACATAATTATTTAAAAAAGATTACGAATATAATATAATGATATATAAAAAAACATATTTTTTTAATCAAAGTTAACAAGTTTTTTTTCTCGAATCAAACTACTTCATCGTTCTCCCTTTGGACCCTGTTTTAAAATAAGTAGAAGAAAGTCACCAAATATGAAATAGTATCCTAATATGAAATATATTCATTTCGCTAAGACTATGAGTAATAAACAATAAATAATAAAGATTAGATGTAATGACGACAGTCATTACCGTACTTTGCCACAACTAACCAGTCTTCTCTACATAACATTAAAATACCTGAATTATTAACTTTCCGTAGGTTAAGTTATTGTAATGGGCCGAAAATCGAAATTGAAATTTTTCATTTCTCGACGTTTTGAAGGTTCCTGAACATTTTGGCATTTCTCAGAAAAAATGGATGTGTGTGTGTGTATGTGTGTGTATGTATGTATGGATACAATTTTTCGGGCTCGTTTTCGGGCGCACGTATCAACCGATTTAAATGGATCAAAAACATTCGATTCCTATTGATAGGGTGATGTGCTGATTAGTTTTTGGCAAAGGCAGGTCCAGCAGTTACGGAGATAAAGAGCAAAGAGTGCAGAAAATAGAAATCGAGTTTTTGAGAGAACGGAGCATCTGATTTGAATGGTCTAAAAAACATTCAATTAGTAATGATTGGGAGAAGTGTTTATTAGTTTTTGGCAAAAGCAGGCGCAGCCATTTTAAAGATACGGAGCTAAATGTGCAAAAAATGACAGATTCAAAGAACTTTCTGCTTGTCTTAACAAAAAAATTGATTTTGGTTAAAAAAAATTATTTCAACTTTTTTTTTCGAGTTTTTTAATAATAAGGCAGACTAGAGAGAAGAACGTTGTAGAGTGAAGATCAATATACGAGGTCTGTTCAAAAAGTACCCGGAATTTTCGTTTTTTCAAAAAAATATTTATTTATTCGTCTACATTAATGTGGTCCCCTTCAAAGTAGTCCCCCCCAGATATAATACACTTATGCCAGCGTTTTTTCCAATTTTCGAAGCACCCTTGATATTCACTTTTTGATATGTCCTTGAGCACTCTCAGCGATTTTCTTCAATCGAGGAAAACCGCCGTCCTTTCATGGGTCTCTTCAACTTTGGGAATAGGAAAAAGTCACACGGAGCCATATCTGGTGAATTTTTGCACTTTGCAACACTTTATTTCATTTTTTACGCAAAATTTAATACAAATTCTTTGACTTTTCAATTCTTCCATTGTTAAAATCGCCGAGTTCAGAAAAACACGTCGAACCTTAGCGACTACCACAGACAAAGTAAACAGTGAATATAGCTGAAAATTTCATCATACTTTAGGGGCATGTATACCAACACAATAAAAAAAAATTTTGACAATCAGACACTCCAGACCCGCGAAATTTAATTATTAGTAATTCCGGGTACTTTTTGAACACACCTCGTATATCATAAACTAAATAGTGGTTTTATTCACATATTTTATGGTGATGGAATATTTATAATTTACAGTCCGCTTATATCTAATTAATCATAGTGATCCTCACCAATTTAAATTTTCATTAATGTGGGTTCAAATTGTTCATCAAAAATGTTGCAGTATTCATTAAGTATTACATATAGCGGTTTTGGAAGCCTGATAAACTCAATATTTAAAGCATAATATTTATCTATTGAAACAAAGAGTTTAAACAACCTTGATATGCATGAATCAAAAATAACTACCAGCTCCTCTATAAATGATCGCTACTTACAGTGTATAATATTCTCTTTACTGAAGTGTTTCTATTAATAACAAGCTTTCGAAATACCTTTCGTAATATTTGCTCGAACAAGAGATGTATATCAAAGATGAATATGTATGTATTTAATAATTCTGCATGTTAAATCTAAGAATTTATTATTTCTGATAAAAAAATATATTGTTCGTATATTCAAGTAAAATTAATAGTTATCACGGTTTTATAAACACTTCATCACTTCAAGTAAAAAAAAATATTTTGAGCCCATGTATATATAATATAATTAAATATGGTAATAAAAAATATTGGTGAATGACGAAAAAATTGGCGAAACTTTCCGCACCGCAATTAAAAGCTTTTAAAAGATTTAAAATTTTTCAAACATTTAAAAAAAAAATAGATTTTTTGAAGAATTATGAAAATTTTCAAAAAAAACTGTAATTTTTTTAATGTCTTGATTTTTTGCATTACTTACTTTAAGAATTTTGGAAACCATTCAAGTCGAGTAATCCATATTGTTGAAAACGTTGGGGATATTTGTTAAAAATATATACGTAAACATTAAACATTACAAAACTTGGTACAAAACAACATTAACAATAAAAACAAACATTGTACTAATAATTAATAAGAATTTATGAAGCATCTGAAAAATTGATGTGCATATGCCTATTGATTATTTTTGACCACCAAATAGCATTTCTAACTTTACGTATCTCTGAAACGGCTGGGCCAACTTTTGTCAAAAACTAATTAGAACGTCTCCTTAAAAAGAGGAATTGATTGTTTTTTATATCATTCAAATCGGTTGTTCCGTATGCTCGAAATCACGCACAAACATACATCAATTTTTTCTAAGGCATGCCAAAATGTTCAGAAACCTTCAAAACGTTAATGTATGCAAAAAAATCAATTTTCTATTTTTGGACGATTATAATAACTTACCCTACGGAAAGTTATAAAAACTTGTTCGCGCAAAGATACAAGTACAAGTCCGAATTGCTTCAAAAACAAACACAATAATAAATTCAATATACAAGCACAAATAATTTTCATTTTACTATCTAGAAATGGTTTGAAGTTATATAATATTTTTCTCTACACCAAGTATACATTTGCCGATTTGATGTTATCAACCACCATATGTACAACCCCTTAAACCAATCTACTTAGGCTTCGACTGCGTGTAATCTGAGGTAATGGTCGCCTCCGTGAATTCATATCTGATACGATAAGTCATAGTTCGATACATATCGCAAGCTATTTTGAATGTAGCACTATACATACGATAAGAATATTAAATCTATATTTACTTTACAGTTTTTTTTAATATTTACCTAGAATCAAACAGAAAGGGGTTTCGAGTAATTTATGCAAAGAATTTTAAAAATGAATGGAAGCGAACAGATAAAATAATAAATAAAGAATTGCTGAGGATGGAGGAAATAGAAAAAAATCTATTGAGAACGATCGTAGTAAGGAAAAGGAAACTAGATCGGAACCATATTGGATAAAGTGGCTGCTGCAAAATATAGTCTAAGGTAATTTAAAATAACTTAAAAGCATAGGAAGAAGAAGAATGCAAATGATTGTGCAGATGAATGCAGATGATGTTTTACGCAAGAAGAAAAAAGAGGAACTGAAAGCCAAATCACAAGACCAGAAAGCATGGAAGCAGAAGTTTGAAACAATAACAAAAATGTTGAAGTTTAGGGGAAGCTAAACGTGCTTTCGTACTACACTAATGTATTAATTAATTTCTATATAGAGTGGAAGAGAGAGAGAGAGAGAGAGATAAAGTGAGAGAGAGAGTGGGCGGGAAACAAAAATCTAATTCGACTTTGAGCAATTATTTTGTAACAAACAACTATCTGATCGTGTTTAGTGAAACTCCTAGGTGATTCATCGTTGTAGAAATGTAGGAGAAAGTCCCTAACGCCGGACGGCACCTAATGCCGGATAGTGTATTTAACACGTATTATTTAAGCGAGTATAAATATTTTTATTTCAAAATACAAATGAAAGAAGCACGGTAGGCACACAGGTACAGGATCACGCGCCAAGCCTCGCCTGTGACGCACACGGCTACGGCAGGAGCAACCGTTTCCTGTTTTAGACGCAAAATCACGGCGTCACCTAAATATCAATGGATGTAATTCTAGCATATTTATGCATTTACATTTGAGTGATATGCAAAGTTAAACGTTGTACTTGATTGTTATCCGTGAAATGGTATAATATTATTAGATATTTTAAACAATTTTAGTAGGTACCACCAAATGAACGAAAATGCCTGTCCCTTAGCGACGGACACTAAGTCGTCCTTTAACGCCGGACAGTAAACATATTGATATTTCTTGTGAAAATTGACCTAATTTATTATATTTATTTAATTTTGTTCTGTATGAGTGCTAACAATCACTACATACCCCTATTTTTCGTATTTCCTAGTCAAAGAATGAAAATTTTATGATGAATGCTCCAGCTGAGAGCATCGGCGTGGCCCAGCAAAAAGGTTAGATAAATAGTGATTTTTTTGCAATATTTTAGTTTATCTCCCTATGAGGTCGTGAGAATCAAGGTGATGGCAGGGTTATATATTTTCTGCCCTCTACTTTCAAATATTGTTCTACCCTATATATACCCTATATATATATATATATATATATATATATATATATATATATATATATGTATACCAACGTATGTGTTGATATACGAATAAAACCTATAAAACTATTGGCGATAAACGATCGGAATTGAAGGCGACCTCATGAATGTTTTAAATAAGTTTGGGCAGGGGTCAGCAAACAAGGTCATTTCTCGATGTACCGTGTCTCAATCTAGTCGCAACTTTACTTCAAAATAAATGCGAAACACGAACGTGACCAACATCGAGAAAAGCTCGATTTTCTAGAACGCTATAAATCATTTTGCTCATGGGAGTACAACAAATGATTGCTTTTCGATATCAGAATTCTGTTTTGAATAGTGAGATAAAAAAAGGACTATTTATGAAATAACATTATGTATGGATAATAATATTATATAATTTCATACTCATTATAACTTCATTAAAATTTGATAGAAGACTTTAATGCTATGCTAAAATTAATTAAATATTTGTAATATACTAGGATGTGAAAAATATAAAATATTATACAGTCACAAGAATGAACTATGTGGTATTGGTATTTTGCCTTTAGGCAAGTTACATAAACTTTCCAATATGTGTAAATAATCGACTTAATGAATAAAAAATAAATTAATTTATGAGCGATTAAAAGTATTCCTAGTGGATTTATTAAACATAATTAAAATGAAAAAATACGTTAATTCGGGGAATTTTTTAAAAGTAAATTTTCAAAAATCAACAATTTTTATAATTGAACCAGTTTCCGTAAGACTTTAATGGTTTAGTATGTTCATTAAGACCAAGTACTGCATCGCTATACCAAGTAAATACTCTAATTTTAATTTTAAAGTGATTAAAAGTATTCCTAGTGGATTTATTAAACACAATTAAAAATGAAAAAATACGTTAATTCGGGGAATTTTTTAAAAGTAAATTTTCAAAAATCAACAATTTTTATAATTGAACCAGTTTCCGCAAGACTTTAATGGTTTAGTATGTTCATTAAGACCAAGTACTGCATCGCTATACCAAGTAAATCGACTAATTTTAATTTTAACAATCGTCAACACATATTTGAAAACGAACGATCACGTCAACACGGAGTAATTTCTAGAATTTTCACGAATCAGTATTTTTTATAATTGAACAAGTTTCCGTAGGATTTAATAGTTCAGTATGTTCATTGAAACCAAGTACTTTATTGTTATACCAAGTAAATCATCTAATTTTAATTTTAATAAACGTCAAAAAAATTACTCATTTTCTCAAACTTTGATATTTTTTTAATTCAATTTAAGGCCGTGATATTTCAGTGAGTTCTATAAGACCATGATATATATCGCTCAAAAAAGTTCCATAAAAATTGGCTTAATTTTTTCCAACGATTAATTACAGGAAAACGACTCGGTAGATTTTGAACTAAAATTTATCAGTATTTTTCACAACTAATATCTTTCGAACAGTTTTTGATTTTTTAAAATCGATTTGGTAGTATGAGCTTAAATGTGGGCAAAAAGTTCAACACTTTTTTCCAAATTACAAAGAAACGTCTTGGCAGATCGGCGCATAAGAATTACAAACGATAGATACTCATTGAGATACATGAAATCGCTATTAAGTTTCTGAAATCGGTTCAGGCGTTTTTGAACAAACGTCGAACAAAGATCTAATTTTGACAATTGTTAAAAAAACGATACTGATTTTTGCAAATTTTGAAGAATTTTTAAATTAAACGACTTGTCGTAGGGCCGTAATATTTTAGTATGATTTATAAGACTATGTCTACCGTAAAAAAAAATCATGAAAATCGTTAAAAAAATTTTTTTAACACTTTATTACAAGAAAACGACCCGAACATCCGATTCATACTGATGGAGAGATTATTATTTTATTTATTTATTTGACTTCGTTGATGGAGAGATTAGTTTTTGGCAAGCCGTTTCGAAGATACGGAGCTAAATGTGCAAAAAGAGTAGTTTTTCAGAAAACGAGGCATCCGATTTGATTCAAAAAGTATTTTGCTTGTATTAATGAAACGATTGCTTTTGATGAATGCAATTTTTCTATTATATTTTTTTCCCCAAAAATATTTTTTTAATGTCGAAAGTATTTAGGGTTTCAATTTTAATTTGAGTGAAAGTTCTAACGCTCATGTATATAAAACACTTACCTAATAATTTTAACTTTGCAATTGAGTTTTTATAATTCTTAGAGTTATGAGACAAGATTCTTCATTCTAAATTGTCTTGGAAGAGAATAATTAGGTTTTGCTTATTTACTTTTTATGTTAACTTATATAAACGTCATCGTTGAATTTATAAGCTCTTATATTTTGTCTACAAAATACGAATAAAATATCTTATAGTATTTATATTAATATATTTGAAAACATTTAATATTTTTCGAAGATTTTATTAGGATTAGGGAAGTTCTAGCAACTAGCTTCAAGGCACCACTAGTTTTGGTTTGTGGCGAAAAAACTCCTTAGGTAGTTTCTCTAAGAATATTAATATGACAACAAATCTCTGCCAAACGCTAGAGAGCTTCGACCTCGCAACCTGCCTGTGACCCCAAATCACATGAGCAAAACCAGCGTAGTGGAACTATCGCCCTGTGAAATGGGTTGACATTATCTATTAGCAGGATCATATGTTGGTCTATACGAGTTTGATTGATGCTTATGGGAATATTTACATACACATAAGCACTCTGGAATCATTCGCAAACGACGACGAAGCCGACCAAGCGATTTATCTAACTCAGAATTGTGTAAATAGGGCCATCATCATTTGGGACAATGCGCTGGAGGTGAATTGTCAGCGCGGTGGAAGAGAGTTCAAGCGCACGGTTAACTTCGTAGTTAAATTATCATTACATACATAGTTACTGAAAACGCTGAAAATTGTTCAACTGCAGTTCAGCTATAGTGCTGAATGTATAAAAATAAAGAATGGGTTATTTCTAGGTTTAAGATGTATTTTTCCAGTAGATTAGACACATTTGACCATCCGATTAGGAAAACCATTTCGATAAAATATCTATTTATATTTTGATGACAAATAATATATACATGTAATAATATATAGCTGAATGTACTGTGTATAGTTTGCTATGAACAATAAACAAAAAAAAAATAATTTGATTGACAAATATTGTTCACTATTTGACCATCCGGTTCGAATGGATCAAAAATATGTTAATAGATAGATTGCAAAATGTGTAAGAAGTCCGTGATCCACCGAGATGCTACCGAACTCTATTGAAACACTTGCACTTTATTTATATTGTCGAAGGACCAGATATACTTAGATAGTGGCTATATCAGACCGAATAAAAGAATAATATTAAATGTTTAATTATTGTATATTTGAAGGAAATATTAAGACTTATAGATGATATGTTAGATAGTTGAAGTTTGAATTAGATGTTATTGCTTTGAATGTTGATTTACGACTGATGTTATCTAGATGATATTTGAGTTGATACAAATTATAAAGATTTTTCAATTTTATATATTTTTCTGATTGGCCCATTTTATGGAATTAACGACATCCTAGTACAATTTTGGATCCAATCAGTAGCTATTACATTCATCAACCAATCAGGTATTGGCCGGTGATTGCATGTGGTTTATTTAGGCGATCCGAATTTCTTAGAAATATATATTAATTGTAGGATGATACATTTAGGGACAGGTGATTAAAATTCTTAGAAAAATGGATTAATGATATGATGATAGATTTAGAGACAGGATGCGTGACAATGAAAGGGATTATTTTATCATTCTAAATTATATAATAAGGGATGAGGATTTATTATTGCCATCCTGTGTGAAGGTAATAAAACATATAATTAGACCGGGGTTGAGTAAGGCGTTAACAAATATTACAGTACACTGTATGACAAGCATTTGTGAAGTCCATTATCTCAGAAACAAGTAAAAAATTACTAAGGCCGTGTCTGGGTATATGGCCAGCCTTCAGAATAACATAAAAAAATCCAAATTTGTTTTTCATTTATTCTATTTTTCACACTCATTCACAAACGATACAACGCCAATGAAAATGTAAGCAATACCTACTATTGAAAATTAAGTCAAAGGCAAATTGTTAAAAGTAAAGTAGTCAATTGCTTCTTGAATAATCGAATAATCAGCAATTTATTCTATCACAAAAAGTGCTAAGATAAATAGACGTTCTTGAGCTATTAAAGTTTTAAGGCATCGTGCCTTAAGGCAAATTGCTGTAACTTCCCGTACCAAAATTTAAAGTTTTTAAAAAAGATTCAATCATTTTTAGAACTTTGAAAATAAATAGATTTGTGCGATTTTTATTTGTGAAAAAAATTGACTGTTTTGAAAAATTTGAATATTATTTATACTGAAGACGCCCGCACAAAATTTCTTAAAAAAGTCCATTAAAAAGTAACTACACACGGACACTATACTACCCCGAAGAACCAGATATAATTAATTATTAAAAAGTCTATATCAGACCTAAATAACAAACCTCTGAATGGAAAATAATAACTAATTTAGAAATTGTTTGTGGAAAAGTAATGTATTTAATTTTATTAAATTGTATTTAATGGTCAAGGTATACGTACAGAATGAATAATTTTTTATAACTAGCTTAGTACCTATACTAGGGTTGGAAATTATTTTATTATGTCAGGTAGAGGAAGATGGATTAATAACATTTGTGAGGCTCGAACATATACTTTAAAATATTTTGGAAATTTTGAACTTTTTTTAAAGCATTCGCAAAATGTTAGCTACATACTAGGTACAAACAAAATATCGAAGCTATTTAGAATAACACAAAATATAATATATCAAATATAACAGATAAATATTGGTATGAAACCCTTAGAAATGTAAA